ATAATTTGTTGAGGCTTCAAAACTAGTAGTCTGACTAATAAAAGACAAGGTCCACAGAGAACACTCAGGGATAAAAAGGGAGCTTAAATCTTTAAAACTATAAATAACAGAAATAAGATAGGTTTTCTTAAACTGGGATCTTGAAGTCACAGGACCTTCTAACCAGAGAGGTTAGGAATCATCTGATTGGTTCTCACATTTTTATGCACAAAAGAATCACCCGAAGGGGCTGGGGATATAGGTCAGTAGTAGAGCACTTGCCTAGAATGTGTGAGGCACTAGTTTGATTCTTAGCATCACATAAAAATAAATGAAGGTATTATGTCCATCTATAACTACAAAAAATTTTAAGAAAAAGATTCACTGGAAGGAAAATTGGGCAGGAGGGAACACTGATTCTGAATTCCGCCCTGGATGTTTTGTATAAGCAGGTCTGAGTGGGGCTGATGAAGTCTTCTTTTTGAAAATATATAAAAGATTTTTAAATTGACGTAACAATTTATGTATTTATAGGGTACCATGTGATGTTTCAATACATGGAGACATTGTACATTATTCAAATCAGGATAACCACATCTACCCCTAAACATTAATGGTTTCTTTGTGGTGAAAACATTAAAAGTCCTTTTTTTCTAGCTATTTTGCAATATAAAATATGTTGTTATTTGTAGTCACCCTACTGTGCTTCTGTGCAATAATGCACAAGAAGACACCTCCTCAGGTTTTTTTGTTTTGGTGGAGATAATGCTGGGGATCATTCCCGGGGCTTTGAGCATGCCAGGCAAGCACTCTACCACTGAGCTAAATACATCCCCATCCCAAGATCTGTCCTTCTTAATGAGCTCTTGAAGCGACTCTAATGCAGTACTCTGTGTACCACACTTTCAGGAGCCCTGGAGAGGCCAGACCCCTCTGTTGGTGTTCATTTTTTTTTTCCTTGTGCTGTTGTCACATGCCCTTTGAAGTGCCCATGGTTGCTGCACTACCATCAAGTGGACAAGTGGCATAGCCAGATGGAAAGAAAAGCCATGGGAGCCACAACTCTGGGGCTGTTTGAAGGAGAAATCCCTGCCTCTTTACATCCTTGGGTGGTGGCGAAAACAAATGAAACACAACAGGATCAGCAGGGAGGCCAGTAGCCTGGTTGGACAGTCTGCTGTTTGGAGGTGTCTTCAGATGGGGTGATGTGTTTCCTCACAGTCGAGTAGATTATTACCATTGTGAATCACTCGTGTCTATGCAGCCTCCACCCTTGGCTACCCAGTTCCTACCGGTCCAACATCTAATTTGTAATTACTCACAGCCTCAAGGCTGTGCTGAGATTCTAACTCAAGATCATCTGCTTAATATATCTTTTTTTTTTTCAGCATAGAATCAACCCAGTTCTGAATTTTTCAAGATTAAACCCATGGCATCTTTCCAGTTTTGCTCCCCACATCTTCTGGAATCCTTCACAAGATGAATGAATCTGCCCTGAGAGCTACCTCTGGATGAGGTCTCAAGGCACTGCTGATGCCTGAGACCTCACCCCATACCTCCTAAAGAGGCTGTTCCGCAGCCTTGCACATCTCCATACTTACCTAGAATTAAGACAGAGAAATGTTCTTGAACTAAAACACCATCAGTGTCTTCCTCATCTTAGAAGCAAAAAAGCAAAGGAGCAGGGGCAAGTGGAGAAAGCCCCTACACTGACTCGCCACACATTGCCACCACCTGTGTATTATTAATGAGCTGCAGCGGCTATTCTGAAACATTATCTCTCCGATCCTTATGCATTTTTAATTTTTATAAATATCTGCTCAGACCACTGATATCCTAAATGTCTGAGACCCTTTAAAACTAGAATAGCACGCAGGATAATACAAATATATAACCACAAGATGGATAAATCTCTATCATTGCTACAGACCCTCTTTACCAGCAAAAAAACCCCCAGAATTCCTGAAATTCATCTTTAATAATTGTGCTTTATTGGTTTTTGTTACATGAGCACTCCTGTTAACGTTGTATAACACACTCTATCACAAAATTTCATTTCATTCTACACAACACTATAAGATAGATACTACTTTAGGACCAAGAAAGCAAAGATCTGAGCTGGACACAGTGGCACATGCCTGTAATCCCATAGACTCACAAGGCAGGAGGATGGAGAGTTGTAGGCCAGCCTCAGCAACGGAGCAAGATCCTGTCTCAAAATAAAAAAAACAAAAAGGTCTAGGTATGTAGCTCAATGGTAAGGCAACCCTGGTTCAATCCTCTGTATCAAAAAAGGAAGAAAAAAGAAAGCAAGTTTCTGAGAGTTTTCATGCTTTGGTTTAATGCCCCCACCAAAACTCATGTTAAAATTTAATCCCCACTGTGAAGTAGATAGAGCTGGATCCAGATAGGAACTTTAAGAGGTAATTATGTCATTGATAAAACCAGGATAAAGAATAATTTGGCAATTTCTAACAAGGTTGAAAAAGTGAATATTCCAATTTCTAGAAGTCTGTCTTATAGTCACAAAGCCAGGAGAAACTCCCACATGTATGAAGGAAACAGAAATAGAGATGTTTAATAAAGTGTTGCTTGTACTAGCAAAATAAATTAAATGTTCATCAAGAGAATGGATAAGAAAGTTGGGGTATATTCAAATTATTAAATATGATAAAGCAGTTATAATGAACTGTGTATTAATAAAGATGACAAGAAGCAAATTGCAAAAGAACTTGAATAGATTAAAAACATGAAAGACAATACTACATGTTGTTCATATAGTTATGCAGTAAAAAGACAAAAAAAATACATGAGTGAAAAACACCAAATTTAGGGAAGAAAGAAAATGAGACTGTGAAGGGGAATACACATGTGGCTTCAATTATATCTGTAATATTTGATTTTTTCATAAGAATAGAGAACTAATACAAATATGGCAAATGTTGAAACACTAAGGCTTGTTAGTGGGTACAATGGTATTTATATTAACTTCTGTGTTTTTTTGTAGATTGAAATGTTTCACAATTTTTCAACAATAAAAATGTTTGGCAATAAAACAAAAAAAAAGAGGTAATTATGTCATGAGGGCTCTTCCCTTATGAAGAGATTAATCCATTCATGGATTATTGGATTAATGATTTAATGGGTTCTCTCTCAAGAGTGGGTCTGTCCTAATAGCCAGTTGGACTTTGTCTGTTGTACACACCCCTCCCAACATGTGATTCCCTGTGCCACCTCTAGACTCTGCAGAGTCCCCACCAGCTGGAAGGCCTGTGCCAGATGCAGCTCCCTGACTTCCCAGCCTCCAACCATAAGCGTAAATTACTTAGTCTGTGACATTCAGTTATAACAACAGAAAATAGATTAAGATTTTAGTGACTCACTTAAGATCAAAGAACTAAGTGACAGATGAGGGGTGGAGCCCAGAATCTCCATGCCAATTCCAGGGCACATTCTACCATGGCATGCGGTACTTGCTGTATGTTTGCACCAAGCAGGACCCATACAGTTTGTCCATGAGACAACCTGGACACAGGCTTGAGCAACAAATATGAGAAGGCACCCTCAAGAGCTCCCACCTACCCCTGAGAGACATGGGACTGACTTTGTCTCAGGACTCACCATCCACCTTGCTGAACTTGTCTTAGACTGCACAAGAGCTGAAGAAGCCTCCATTCCATCCACCTTCCTCTCCTTCACTCAGGATCTGGGCTGCTGCTTCCTAGAAGAATAGACTACCACAGCCATCCAATCCTGGAGAGCTGATGTTCCTGCAGGGGATATCTGCAGCTTCAGGAGCCAAAAGGGAATACTCAGACTCTAGAAAAGGAGCAAATAAACCAAGAAAGAAAAAGAAAAATTGGGCAAACCTCAGCATGCATGCCAATCCTGGCCTGAATCTATCCTTGGCCAAGGAGCAATTTAGGCAGGGAAACTGATTCTGCCAGGGGACTATATGTATATATGGGCAGCCACCATGAAATGGCCATGAAGAAGTGGTTGTTCCTAAGCAGTGGTACCCCTCATAAAGCCCATCTCACTGTGGAAGTCAAGGTATTCCTGTTGGACTTTCTGCACCCTCTTAGGTTTGTCCTTGAGACCTGATTTTTTTTGACCTTCAAAAAAAATCTAGATGTCAAACTCAGGAATAGACAACTCACCATGATACTTGTTAATGAAAGAAACATCCACGTTAATTCCTCCTGACAGGGAGATGTCAGAGAAAGCATTATATGTAACAATGTCAAAGACATAATCCCACACACTCTTCACCCCTGAATCATGGAGCAGGCCTGCCATTCCTATGTTTGTTCATCCACCAAACACTTTCCGAGCTCTATTGTGCCTCAATGGTGGGATGCAGAGAAGAAATGCAGCATTACAGAGTCAACACCAAGTATCAGGGAAACAGGGGGGACTGCAGGATTGACACAGCTTTTACTAAGTATATATATGTATGTATGTACGTATATAATTTTTTACACTGCGAACAAATACTTAGTACAACAACAATGCTCCCAGTTTTAAAACACACAGCATTAATCTTCCAATGGGTCACTGGTTAGTCAAGTATGGCTAGGGACTGTCGGATACAGATATGTGTAATAATGGCATCCGTATCCTCAAACACCATTGCTGGCCCTCAGGCACTATGAACTGATTTACAGATCTGGGGGCACCAAACAGTCCCCCAATGTCTGGAGAAGGAGGGGAATTTAGACATCAATGAGCAAAGTTACAATATCCTCTAAATCTGTGCTGTCCAAGAGCCACATGAGGCCGCTGAGCACTTAGAAGGTGACTAATCTGAACCAAGAAAGGCTGGATGTGTAAGGTACACAATGGATTTTGAGAGAACATGACAAAAAAGAACATAAACTATCTCAGGAATAGCTTTTATGTTGATGAAATATACTGATTTGGGATATATTGGATTAGATAAGTAAACAATTCAAATTAAACCTCACTTTTTTTTTTTTAAATGTGGCTACTAGAAAATTTCAACTTACACATGAGACTCACTTTCTACTGCACAGATGTCTAGATGTCAAACTCAGTGAGGGCAGGGACTGTCTGTTTTTGTTGATCCAGTTCATAGAATTCAGCACAGTGCCTGTCCCTTTTCAGGAATGAATGAAAATATGAATGAATAAATGGACACTAGTTATGAATTTCTCTTGAGCATCAGTTCTACACTTTCCTTATCTTAACCTAATGTCTGAGAGGAGATTTGCAAAATCTATCTCCCAAATTAGAATCTCAAGCCCTGACCTCCCCGAGGGCATATCTCACTGTCTGCATGCAAATTCCACTTAGATGAGGAGCAGACATCCAAATTAACATTTCCAGAGAAGAATTCTTTATTTTTTCCCCCAACGTAGTTTCTGCCCAAATCTTTCTTCTCTTAATAAATGGCAACTGATCTACCTGAAAAGAGTAAAATCCTAGATATCAATCTTGAAACCTCTGTTTCCCTACTCTTTTCCTGCCATTAACACCATCACCTAACCCTGACCCAATCAAGAAAATTTTATTGATTCTATGGAAAAATATTGTCTAGATATGTGCATTTTCTCCACTATGACTACTACAGCCATCCTCAGTATAAACCACCTTCATCTTGCTCTTGTGCAGCTATCGTAACTATCCAGGTATTACTGACATCGTCTTCAGAATTTCTGTGAGCCATTATGACCCTTCTGATAAAGACTAAAAAATAAATAAATAAATAAAAGTAAGCCTGATGCATTTCACTGTGAGATGATAAGATGATTTTTATCTTTATTGAACAAATGTACTTTAATATAGAGTATATAAACTGCAAGATGGAAACAGCTAGGGGCATTCATCTAAGTATACACCTGCCCTCGGGCAAGTTTTCATTTTATAAATCTGCTCCATTTATAAAGTTCTCCATGGATGTAGGGTCCAGAGACAGGGAGGCTGAGCTTGGACCCTACTCTTCCCCAGGAGTGGGCATCACTCTTCACCCCAGAACCCTTTCTGCCAGCTTTTGGGGACTTCACTAAGGGTGTTCCCCAGCTCAGATGCAAGTGAAGCATAACCCTCACCCTTAATTGGATGGCACAAAATGTGAAAAACAGTCTTCATTTGCGTGATCACAGAGAAACAAGGAAGTCAAGTATTATAGAACTAAGTCACAGGTATATTTTGTTGATTCAGTTATTTAATGGACTCCTGTTGCTACAGAACTGCAGGGAAAATGGACTTAGCTTACCAGAAAGGGGATGCTTAGAACCTGAATCTTACACGTGGAACTTATGCTCTCTCCCTTCCATGACAGGAGAGCAGGGACCTCTGAAGCTCATCTCTGCAATCAGACTTGGGGCCCAACATCTTCATGCTCTTCCCTCTTCCTGCCCCTAAATTTTCCCTTCTCCTAAAACAATGTCCTTAAACAACCTCCTCCCCTGCAACTCAGTGGGCACCTGCAAACTCATCCCTGACCTTCTACTCCTTGGTGTCATCTTGGACCCCTCCTGTATCTGGTCACTCTTATCCACCACCAGCTCTTATGCATTCCTTCAAAGGTTTCTAGTCCTGGGAGCACCATCTGGAGCTGACCCATAACTCCGTACTTCCACACGATCACAGATTTCCCAGGACAGGTCCTTTCTTCACTCTCTTCCTATTGAGTCTAACCCATCATGCTCATTGCTACCAGGTCAGTCTTCCAAAGCACAATTTTCTTTAAGTCATGCTCCCAAATAAGCATGGGCAGCAGCTCCCTATGGCTTATTCATTCATATTTTATTTATCTGTTTGATTTGTTTTGTGATACTGGGGATCAAACCCAGGGCCTCACGCTTGCTAAGTAAGCATTCTACGACTGAGCCCTCATTCTTTTTTAAAAATGTGCTTGTCCACTGGGCATAGTGGTACACATCTATAATCCTAGCAGCTCAGGAGGCTGAGGTAGGAGAATAGCGAGTTCAAAGCCAGGCTCAGCAACTTAGCAAAGCCCTTAGCAACTTGGCAAAACCCTTGTCTCAAAATGAAACATAAAAAGGGCTCAGGATGTGGCTCAGTTGGTAAGCACCACTGGATTCAATCCTTGGTACCAAAAACAAAAAGCGCATTTTTCCAATTCTAACATTAGGCCATATGCTCTGTGCTGGGATGAACAAAACAGACTGGTAACTCCTGAAGTGTGAATGATCTCCACTCTCTGCTGTATGATTTTGAATACTTTACCAGCTCCCAGACAGACCTCTACTCCATGATTTCCACAGCATGGAACTCCTTCTCCTCTTGTCTTCATTTGAATTTTGTTCATCTCAAAAATGTCAATTTAGAGCCTCCCTCTTTGATGCTTCTTTGAATTCACATCATTTACCCTCTCCACACCAATTATCCGATTCCTATCCTCCAGTCTTATTTTTTAATGCAGTTATCTTTTTATTTGTGTGAATCTTATCCCCACAATTAGATATAAATATTAACACAGCTTGAGGAGGGTTCTCCCACAGAGTCTAATTATTAGATAACCTTGCAATATTTCTGATTAATTGATCTATATAGGAATTTATTATTTGAGGGATTTATTTTCTTATGTGAAAGTCGTATAGAGGAAAATTAGACTATTACTTTACTGTTGTCATGTCAAATTGCTCAACCGAGTTTCTATATTCAAGTTTTATGTTAAATCTTTAGTAAGCAGATATTTAAAATCTATTCTTTACACTAAAAAAATTGTTCATAAACTATTTGTAAAGCAGGTGCCATGCTGAAAGTCAGGGTGTGTGTTTGTTTGTTTTTGGTGGCCCTGGGCATCAAACCCAGGGCCTAGTGCATGCTAAGCACACACACTACCACTGAATGATGCCCCTAGTCCTAAAGTCAGGATTTGATATTTCATTTTTTGTCCTTATCTACTGTGCTTCATATAGCATTAAGCAAACAGCAAACACCTGATTTAAAAAAATGATTGATTGCAATACTTTTTAATATTTCATTGGTTGATTAATCTTGGCTAACTTCACTACTGACTTACTCAAAAGTAGGGTAGTGTTCTGTCCACTGATGCCAAACAGGGCCTCAGACAGGCCTGCTACCCATCAGAGGGGGGAAATTGCTGAATGTGATGCAAGGATAGAAGGATGGCTAACTGGATAGATGGATAAGTGAACGGATAAGTGATGTAGAGTAGCAGGGATTGCTTCCAGTCTGGGTTATCAGAAATTTTCTGAAGGATCTGGTAGTTGAGCCATGCCTTAAGGGCCAAGGAAGACTTAGATATGAGAGATGAGATCAAGGGTGAACTTAGGGAAGCAAACAACTCAAGCAAAAGTTTAATGGACCAGAAGAGTTCGCTATTATTTCCCCACACCAAGTCCCCAAGAAGCAAATAATCCCTCTCCCCCAAGCAATTCCAATTCTAGCATTTGCCTTATTGGTCCAGAATGTGGTGACCACTGTCAGTTATTACTGTCAAGTATTTAACCCCTTCCTGCCTGGGACGGTGTTGCATTATCCCATTTGCAACTGCAGGTGACAAAACAGATTCCCTTTCTCTATCTCTACCCACAGCAGCGAGGGCACAGGCACAGGACCAAAGACAGAAAACTGGAAGCTCTTACCTGAATGACCGTAACAGAGATGAGGGGAGGGCTGGAATCCGCTTGTGGCAACAGCGTTCACCTGTATCCAGCATGGTGACAGTTATTACAGTTTCGATGGCAACATCCTGATTAAACTATTCTTCTTAAAAGATAGCTGTGGTTTTTCCTGCTTCTTGGCACTTGAGCCAGATCAGATATTTCACACTCGAAAATTCTCCAGTTTCCTTCCAATGAATTCTGGATCTACTCAAAACAGTCATAGCTGATTTCTGTTGCTTATGATCAAGAAGCCAGCTATTTTACACTCAACAGCACTGTGCAAAATAGTAGGTGCTTGGCTAATGAGTTGATAGTACAGATGAACATACTTGAAAAGGAGACAAATTTAAGGCAGAAAAATTAACCTAAAGTTTAGACTAGGTCTCTGCATTATTTCTACTTAATATGCAAATTTTGGGAACTTTGGCATGTGGCACTTCAGTAGGAACAACACCAGTGAGAGAGATTTCATAAAATTACAATTATCTAAATCTAGTCTCTCCAGATTATTACCAGAAAGCCAGGTTTTGGGGCAAAGTACAAGCCTCATATACCTGCAGTATACTGCCAGGCTGCTAGACTGATTGACTTGAAGAAGATACCCTGAAAGCAGAGACATCCAGACATTTTCAATAGTGAGTCCAAATGTCCAGAACACCATAAGCTGCCTGCATTTAGAATGGATAGCTATATTAAAGAATAGCCTAGTGAGTATTAAAAAAAATAGGTATTTTCTGTCAGACATAAAAATCAGTGCCTATAAAATACATTTTAATAAACTCTAGCTTTGCAGAGTACAACATTATCATCAATTTTACCCAGTCAGTGACAACATTGACGATATTTACCTCATTGAACTAATTCCAAAACCATGTATTCAATATATTCAGGCCAAAAACACCTCACTCAATTTTCACTACCCAAGAATATTCTTGATGAGGATTCTTGGATTGAAATTTAACAGTCAAGGAAGAGAATGTGTATGCACAGAGATATATAGGTTCCACACAAGGGTCAGACTTTGATCAGAAAGACCAAGGTATTGAAGGAATCAATAATACAATAACTCTTTAGTAGATTAATTAGATAAAATGTTTTGTGCTAAAAACTTTAGAAGATATTGCATTGTAGGGATAGACTGGCACTAGGTCATCAGACTGGGAGCTTTTTGAGGTCCCATATTTATTCAACTTTGCACACCTTTCATGATCAGGGCCCACTACGCGCGTGCACACACACACACACACACAGAAACCTGCACACCCCAGCACCTACCATTGTGGCTAGCACATAGTAAATGCTCAATAAATATTTTTAAGCAAATACATGAAGACCTAAACTTAGAATGAAACTCCACCCCATCACTGACTACACGTGCCATACTGCCAGCTCTATACAACACATCTGGGAGGCAAGGATGGGGAAGTTAGAATAAAGGAGCTATGATGTGGCAGACCCCTTACAACCTGAAGTGCTAGCTATTACATCTGACTTTTCAGATGTGAAAAGTGAGGTTCAACGAGATCAGTCACAGAACTAGGAAGAGGTAGCAAAAGGCTTTGAACTTAGATCTTTTTAATTACAAATCTAGTACTCTTTCCATTTTACCCGGGAATCATAACTAGGGACTCTAAGAAACCCACATAATGCACAATGGGAAATGTTTATGAGTTGGAGATCTGTACCTTTCATCAGATTCCCAAGGTTGTTCAAGATCTTCACAAGGCAAAGATGTGAGCTTCTGGTCACAAGCAGATGTGGACTCGCATTTGCCCATTACACTGGAGAAGAAGGTAAGAGTCGAGGTGGAAGAAGGTGGTGGTTGCTCGAATCACTCAGATTCAACATCCCTCCAAGCTGCTATACTGACTCCAGAAGGTACTGGTGTCCTCCCTGCAAAGAGTGACAAACAACCTGACACAAGTCCCAAGCATTTTCCATGTTCTACTTGGAGAAACTTACAACACTGTGTGTGTGTGTGTGAGTGTGTGTGTGTGTGTGTGTGTGTGTGTTCGGCAGGGATGTTAGAGTGGCTATAGGGACAGGAATCGGACCTCACACACCTGGACATGAAGCCCATGTTGTGTTGTGATCTGAGTAAGAGAGAAACCAGTGGAGCTGAGACCCTAGGGATGGAGAGGAAAACTGCCATAGATGGATTAAGTAGTAAATCTAATTCTACTCTGGACTTTTGGTTACAGCCTTCTTGGAAGTAACATAGAGATTGGAAACTCTGTTTTTTTTTTTTTCATTTAACAGGTGTTTGAACAGTATACACTGCTATAGTAGGCAGGGTGGCAGGGAGCTCTGTGTAACAGAATGGAGTAAGGTATATTCTATTACACAAGGCATATTACACAAACCTGTAATCGCAAGTCAGTGTGACAAGTACTACACCAGACACATGATAAAGAGCTGCAGGTGTACTGCCAGAAGGAAGAGAGATTATACCTAAGGGAATGAGAAGCAGTTCTATTGGAGGTGACTTGGCAGTTCAATTAAATAAACATGTAGCAAACTTCAGGCACTGGATTGGCTTGGGGGCAGAAGAGGTCTAGATTCAGAATGTCTGCCAGGCCCATGATGTTACAAGAATGGAAATTACAACCTACCAAAGCAAAGGCTGACATAGCTCTGGGAATAACAAACTGTGTGTACGTATTCTGGGGGAAGGAATATCTAAGTTAGGTTTGGAAGAATGCATAAGAATTTACCAGGTTTCAGGCAGAAAGATGCATAGACTTAAAGGCTACCCAAAGAGAAGCAAGAATAATAGTAATAGTATTTATAGAGCATTCACCAGGGACTAAGCATTGTTCTAAATGCCATATAGACATTATCTCACAGGGCAAGCCTCTGAGTAGGCACTGTTACCACATTTTATGTGTTCTTAGGTACACATTTTTTTTCGGACTTTTTTTTGGACTTGCAAATCCAAATTGTGGTGGCCACAATTCCCCTTCCTTGTATCCATGTGCTTGGATAATGCTTTCTCATACTGATTTTTGACATGACACATTACTTGTTTTGATCAATGGAAATAGAGCAAACAAGAAGTAGACATTTGAAAGGCAGTTGTACATTGAGGCTTATCCCCTGTGCTGCGTTTGGAGCCCGAGATCACATTTGAACACGCGTGGATTAGTTTGATGAAATGGTCATGCAGACAACTGAGGGACCTTAGTAAATAGTCTACCAACCATCACACCTGTGAGAGAGACCATCCCAGAATATCTAATTCTAGATGATCCACCATTTGATAGTATCTGCAGGAGAGAGCCCAAGAGATACCAGCAGAGGAATCATGGAGCTGCACCCAGCCCCAGAGCTAACCACCAAGATAAGGAGCTCATAAATGTATGTTGTTTTAAGCTGCTCAGTTTTGGTGTGACTTGTTATTTTATACAGTAAAAGCTAACTGATACAGACACCATAAAATGATGGTGTCTTGCAATTAAAATGAGCAGCATTTTTTTTCCTTAGGGATTCATAAAATAATAGTGAATCTTATAATTGATTTAGATTTCAGATCTGATGCAATGCACTTTCATATTCGGCAGTTAAAAAAGCTAGGGATCTGAGAGTTACTTGCCTTAAGTCTTTAATTAGTAAGTAATGGAATTTGAATCCAAGCAATCTGACGCCATACTTTTGGCCCTTAACCTTCAGATAGTTCCATCTAGCTGGAGAAGGTAACAGACAAACTGGTTGATGAGGAAAGCAGGTACAAGTTCTGTAGGTCAACTTAGGAGACATTGAAAAGAGTTTGAATTCTACCATTTGAGAATCAGAAGCCAATTGAGTTAGGAAGATGGAGGAATAAATAAAATCTTGATATTGACCAATTAAAATGCTCATATCAAGAAACAGAAAGAAAATAGTGTGGGGTGGAGGGTGGGGTCTGGAAGCACTGGCCTCTTTGATGGCTCTAGGTTGGGCAGAACTTCAATGGCAGGAAAGGGCCTGAACAGCGGGGCTGAGCAGCTGGTGGACTGTGACCCAGAAGGAGGAGAGAAATACCCAGGACAGTTACTGCCTGGGTCTCTGCAGACTAGCTCTTCCTCATAAAGTGAATGAAGCCAGTGGCTCAATTATATTTAAAAATTACAAGGAGTGTGGGTAAGACTATGGCTTAATTAGGGCCATTGAAGACCATGTGATAGTTATCAGTAGTTACAGAACAGTGTTGGTTTGGTAGAAACACCCTTCTTCCCCACTGCTGGATGCCCAAGACAGTTGAACTTGCAAATCCAAACAGGGGCATAGTGACAGTACCAAAAGATTTCCAACTGGACTAGGTTGACTTTTAGGCTAATGGTTTAATTTTCAGAGCCAATCACTTACAGCAACCCCATGAAATTTAGGGAGGGACCCTAGCAACATGCTCTCATAGTTAAATGTTCCTCTAGTCTTTGCAAAAGATGATTTAGCTACTACCAGTTGGTTCAGTCATCACTCTACACCGTCTCTTCCGTCACTACCCTCTTGCTCAGTAGTGCCAAGGTCATTTTTGGAACCCAGCTAAGGGGAACTGGTGTTGGTTGTATATGTTCCTTTGGGTTTGGGAACTACATTCATGGAATTTGCATCATCAGGGATGCTGTCAGGACGACCTCACCTGCTGGGCCAACTTACCTAGCCTACTGGCAGGAGGTTCAAAGCCAGAGATTCATATCTCCAAATCAAGGCACCTGGAAATTTATGTGATCAGGGAAGAGGAATGCAGATTGAAATGTGAATAGTCAGAAGGTATACCACAGAAAATTCTTCTAATTGGCATGCATTTAAAATAAAAAGCAATGGGCTGGGGATGTGGCTCAAGCACTCGCCTGGCATGCGTGTGGCCCGGGTTCAATCCTCAGCACCACATACAAACAAAGATGTTGTGTCCGCCGAAAACTAAATAAATAAATATTAAAATTCTCTCTCTTAAAAAAAAATGCAATGGATCTCATTCTCTTCAATATCCACTAAAAATTCTAAGAAGTCCAGGCCTGGTGGCATATACCTGTAGTCCCAGCAACTAGGGAAGCTGAGGTAGAAGGATCACAAATTCAAAAGCCAGTCTCAGCAACTTAGTGAGTTTGCATAAATAGAGGCCCTCAGCAACTTAGTGAGACCCTGTTTCAAAATAAACCATAAAAAGGGGTGGGGATGTAGCTCAGTTGTAAAGTTCCTCTGGGTTCAATCCCTGGTACCATTTAAAAAAAAAAAAATCTCGAGGAATTCCATCAGTCTTGTTAGGGGAAAGATTGAAAGACTAGATTTTCTTTCTATTCTTTATATAACAAATTGTGTTATTAAAAATGTCATATGGGGCCAGGCGTGGTGGTGCACGCCTATAATCCCAGCAGCTCAGGAGGCTAAGGCAGGAGGATCGTGAGTTCAAAGCCAGCCTCAGTAAAAGTGAGGCACTAAGCAACTCAGTGAAACTCTGTCTCTAAATAAAATACAAAATAGGGCTGGGGATATGGCTCAGTAGTTGAGTGTCCCTGAGTTCAATCCCAGTACCCCTCTCCCAAAAAAATGTTATATGGGGCCAGCAATGTTGTAGCTCAGTGATAGGGCCTTGCTTAGCATCAAAAGACCCTGGGTTCAATCCCAATTACCACCAAATTAAAAAAAAAATCTTATGTGGCTTTCCTGCTCCCAATACATAATCTCATTCTAATCAAGAGAAAAACATTTGACAGCTGTCAAAAGAAGGATGTTTTGCAAAATACCTGACCAATGTTCCTCAAAACTGTCAAGGTCCTGAAAAACAAGGTTAATCTAAGAAACTCCCCCAGCCAAGAAGAGCCTAAGGAGACGTAAGAGACATACCAAGTAAATGTGGTGTGGTATCCTGGTTGGTGTCCTGAAACAGAAAAAGGTAAAAATGAAGGAAATCTGAATAATTAATGGATTTTAGTCATAGTTAATGTATCAGTGCTGAAGTCTGGCTGCAGCAAAATAACGGTGGGGGGGGGTGTGACGAGCAACTTGTGTACATTGATACAGCAGGAGTGGGAGCCGTTTATTGTAGGACAGGAGGGGTATATATACATTCCACACAGCTTATCTTAATTAACATAAACTAGATACAGCAGTCAACCAATAAGGAATCTCCACACTTAATGGCTCGCTGGCGTTACTTCACAAACCACTCCCTCTGGCAAAATGCCAGGCGCCATCTTGACTTGTTTACAGACCTTAACATATCAGCACTGGCTTGCTGATTGTATCCTAGGTACCCTGCTAATGTAAGACGTGAATCATGTTGGAAGGTGGCTGAGAAGTTGGTGAGAGTGCTGCAATTTTTCCATAAGTTGAAAACTGTTCTAAAAAATAAAGCTTATTAAAAATCTCACACCAAACACCACTAATGAGTACACAGCCCAAAACAGTGAGAAAACTTATTTTGGTAGGAGGGAATAATTTTTTAAAATTTTTAGGTTATTTTTCTGAACTTCATGAAATTTTTGGTGCAATGATAATGGGCAACATTCTTTTCCTTCCCACTACTGAAGGCCCAAGAGAGACTGAAATTTTAAAATTTGTATTTTACTGGGATTTCTGTTCTCATTCAAAAGAAACATTCATTGTTGTATTCAGTTTCGTATTTGTAATTTTCTTCAAGAGCTCCCCCAAACTGTATAAACTTTAGGTTCCACACACCCTGAATCCACCCTTGGTTAGTCCTGATTACATGTGTATAGTTAGAAAGATGTCCAGTTAAACACTGAGTACTATTACTTAAATACCATCCTAGGACTAGCAGTGGAGTGAGAAGGGGTAGGATGGTTCATGAGGATTCATGGGACACAGTGCCTGCCCTCCAGGCACTAAGCGTTTCATGAGGGTCATTAATTATATGCCTATTGTACATGGTGTCTCAAAACAGGTTGAGCATCATTTACTGATTGACAACTCTTTCAAAAATGGCCAAGACCTGGCATTCAAAGCACATTGAATAGCGTTGAATGATGTAACTTGACTTCAGATGATGAGGATTGAAAGCAATAGATGTAGAAGATCAAAAATAATCACAGCTGGGCTGGAGTTGTGGCTCACTGATAGAGCACTTGCCTAGTACATGTGAGGCACTGGGTTTGATCCTTAGTACCCCTCTCTGTAAGTCACAAAATGGAACGTTTAATTAAAGAGTCTGGAACCGGGGCTGGGGATGTGGCTCAAGTGGTAGCGCGCTCACCTGGCATGCGTGCGGCCCGGGTTCGATCCTCAGCACCACATACAAACAAAGATGTTGTGTCTGCCAAAAAAACTAAAAAATAAATATCAAAAATTCTCTCTCTCTCTCTCACCTCTCTCTTTAAAAAAAAAAAAAAAGAGTCTGGAACCTTCATTGAATGAGAAAGCTGAGGGCCTGGGCTGTCAGTCCCTAGGACACTGTTCTATAGTAGGTATTATTCCTGTTTACAGAGGATAAAATAACTAAAGCTTGTATTCTTAACCACTGTGCAATATAACCTCCCATCAAAGTCTATCTGATGGCCACAGGACAATCCTCCAAACTGTGAAACATTTTGAAATGTCAGGAAGAAAGGTTTTAGTTTTGTTTTGTTTTTCTTCATTGTTAGTGCTGGAATACACCTGAGAGATCGAGATTATTTAGTTTGTTTCCTTTATTTCTAGAGGGAAAGTCTGAGGCACTGGGGAATGAAGTTGCTGTCCAATGTCATATAACAGCTTCTGCCAGAGAGAGTAGGAACTCAGATCTGATACCATATTGTGTGCATTCTCCACTCTAAAGTTGTAAATCACCTGTGTTAAGAGTTAGAGCCCGGGAAGAGGCATCCAGCTTGAGTTCAGTGTCTTGGAATGGGAAGAGATACAGAGACAACTGCCTGAATGTTATGGAAAGAAATGTACCTCCCTCCCCATTCATATGTTCAAGGGCCTGAGAATGTGATTTTATTTTGGAAATAGGATCTTTAACAGAGACAATCAAGTTAAAATAAGGTCATTAAGTTGAGCCCTAATGCAATATGTTTCATGTCCTTATAAAAAGGGAAATTGAGACATACTTTGTAGAGCCAAGGTGATATGAAGAGCCACAGGGAGAAGACAACCATTTGCAATCCAGAAAGACCTGCAACAGATTCTTCCTTTCAGTTCTGTGAAAGAACCAACCTTGTCAACTCCTTGATTTCATACATCTAGTCTCCAGAGCTGTGAGTCAATGAATTTCTATTGCTGAAGCCACCTAATTTATGATACTTTATTACACAGCCCTGGGAAAGGAATATACTACAGAACAGGGAAAGTGGCTAAGGATGCCCTGGGCCTCACAGACCGGTCAAAAAAGTAAGAAGGGAAAGGAGAGGATAAAATGATGAAATCATGGTGTGGAGAAAGAGACCTGGGCGAAGAAACCAAGGATTAGCCAATAAAGGAATGTGCAATCTATTTTTTCTAATAAAAAATATTTTTTTCTAATAAAAATCAATGTGGAGTCTATTTATTTTTCTCTCATTTAAATGGGTGCATGTCCATCTGGAAGATACAGATCTTAAAGGGGAGCTAGAAGCAGCCAGCTGTTATAGAAGTTGTTGGTGTGTGGGTTGCTCTCACCACTACTATGCCACAGAGCTCAGCACAGTATGAGAGGAAACAAATACAATTGCTACTTTTGGGTGTTCTGGAAAAGCTCTAGAGACACCCAGGAAAAGTGTTTTAAGATATTATTTGCTGCCTAGTGCAGTGGTGCATGCCTATAATCTCAGTGATTAGGGAGGCTGAATCAGGAGGATTGCAAGTTCAAGGCCAACGTCAGCAACTTAGTGAGACCCTGTATAAAAATTTTAAAAAGCCAGGGATATGGCTCATTGATAAAGCACCCAGGGTTCAATCCCCAGTGCCTCTCCCCCTTCCATTATTTGCTGGAATCAACTTGAATATGCTTGAGCCTAGAAGGAACACATCTGTTTTTAACCAGTGTAAACCTCAGTATAAACCCACCATTGTTATGTTCATGCTCTGGAGGCAGACCATTTTGAGTTCCAGGTGTAGTCTTGCCCTCAACTGACATATAACCTCTGTGCCTCCATTTCCTCTTCTGTAAAAGGGGAATGATGATAGCACCATATCATAGGGTTAAGATGAAGATAGGGTCATGCATGTGCAATGTCTGATATTAAGCATCCAATAAGGGGTATGTTATTGAAGTGGCACCCCCTTTCTCCATAGAAAAGCCCTTTTCACCATGGCTGATTTTAGGACTGTCAGAAAAAGAGTCCAATGTAGATAAACTTCCTATTTTCATATCACCCTGTTTACTTGGCCACTGGCCAAGAAGATACCAGCACTCCAGGTGCTGGACACCCCCTTACTAGTTTTTCACAAACGTATCCAGTATAGTACTTGAAGAAATGTGCAAACAAGGCCTCTGGCCTTGAGCTGGGCTTCACAGAGATGTCTACATTTTTAAGATAAGTTACAAATGAGCACATGGTAACAGCTGGCAGGGGGAGGAAAGAAAGGGGGAGATGAAGCTCTCTCCTTCTCAGGTGTTGTCCTTGAAGAGTTAACTTGCCCAGAACAGTGAAAGTAACAGTAAAAGCTGCTTTTGTGTGAGCTTCTGCAGACTGTGAACTTCTGAGCCCCTCCCCTTACATGGTGGGTATAAAATTCTGAAACTCCCTGAACTCGGGGTTCAGGGATTGTAATTGATTGATTACAGCAAAGGCAGTACCCTCTGAACCTGGCTGCAGCCAAATAAAACTGTTTCCTGCTATCTTC